CCTGCAAGTAGGGAAAAATACCCCGTTGATCTTCCAGAAATGCACTCAGCTCCTATCGTGGGCTGCCAACACACAGCCGTTGTTGGGGACTGAGTGGTGTCAGCCCTGCCCAATTGCCTTTTGCTACACTATTCAAACCCACCCCCAGCCCTATTGTCCACAACATAGCTAATCACACGCTAATCATTCTGCAGCCTCCGAGCAAAGAACTACGAGGGCTAATTAGACTCGTGGAGATAACACAGGAAATGTGCACAGGACACAGGACAGTTCTGAATTGCTGGCAGGATCAAATGGTAATTTTATTGCAACTGGAGGAGTTTGGGGATGGCCCCTTCCTGTCCCAACATGACTGCACACCAGTGCACAAAGCAAAGTCCATAAAGACATGGATGGGGGAGTTTGGTGTTCATGTGTGTGTAAAGGTATCCCAATACTTTTGGCAATATAGTGTATATAATATATATATATAAGGGCTGGTAATATTTAAAATGTTCGTGTTCGATTAATCGTCATTAGCGATCAAAATAATCTTAATCGATCAAAAAGTTTAACGATTAATCGAGAAATTAATCTTTAATTTCCACAGCCCTAAATATATATATATATACAGTATACATTAGAAGTATATTAGAATTTAGGGTTTGCATAAGCTTACTATATGCACCTCTATATAGGCTCCCGGGGGCAATGGCTATGGGGAATGATTTAAGGGGGCACAAGAGTGCAGTTGGGAGCATGGGTCATGCACACTCATGCAGTGCCATGACGCAGCGCACATTATTGCACCGCAATGGATGGCTTCATTGGGAATGGGCCCTGGATGTTCAGCTGAGTCTATATATAGAAACTTGATAAAACAAATCAGAGCAGCAATAAAAAGTAATAATAATAATTAAAAAAATTACAAATAAAAGGTGATAAAATGTATCCATTCCGGGGATACGCTGACTGTGAACTGTCACTTTCCTGCAGACGTTTGCCAAATATCCTGCTGACTGCGGTGATTGTATTGTCTCATGCAAAGTTATGCTTGAGGCAGTGTAATGGTTGTCACTATTCCAGGGAAATAAATGGATGATGGGTGTGGCTTATGTAATGTGGGCGTGGTTTGCAATGGGCAATTCCAGTACCAACACCTAATAATCTGGTTTTGAAATTTGACTTTAGCTTGTAAATGCCGACTTGCTGTAATTGTGCAACAAAATTGTGAAGCTTGGCAAGTCTAGAAATACTTTAGCAAGTCATTTTCAAACTTGCTGCTCAATTGTTTGCTATCTGGGATATAGCACAGCATACAGGCAGGGCCGGATTTCCATTTCGGGACACCTCCAGGCATGAATGGAAATTTGTTTAGCCTGAGCCGACACCCTTACCTGTTGCGGGACCCATACCAATACTCTCCTTTCTCTCTCCTGGTTGTCTCTCCTTGTTCCCTCTCTCCTGGCTGTCTCTCCTTGCTCCCTCTCTCCTGGCTGTCTCTCCTTGCTCCCTCTCTCCTGGCTGTCTCTCCTTGCTCCCTCTCTCCTGGCTGTCTCTCCTTGCTCCCTCTCTCCTGGCTGTCTCTCCTTGCTCCCTCTCTCCTGGCTGTCTCTCCTTGCTCCCTCTCTCCTGGCTGTTTGCCGCGCGTGCCTCCCCCCCGCCTGGCTGTCTCTCCTTGCTCCCTCTCTCCTGGCTGTCTCTCCTTGCTCCCTCTCTCCTGGCTGTCTCTCCTTGCTCTCTCTCTCTCCTCACTCTCTCCCTGGCTGTCTCTCCTCAATGTCTCTCCTGGCTGTCTCTCCTCACTCCCTCTCCTGCATATTCTACAAAACAAATGTGCTGTGTGGCAGTACAGTCTTAAGGTGCCCATACACCTTACGACCATCGCAAGACTTTTGTCTTGCGATGGTCGTATGCTTCTTGAAAGCCCGTACGATCTGCCCACCTTGGACGGGCAGATCGTACTTGCGATCATCGAAAGCCTGCCCCGCTGAGGGGCGGGCTTCCGATGACGGCAATGCAGAACGGGCACACCGGCCTGTGTGCGCACACCGGCCTGTTCCGCAGCTATCGGGCGAGCAGGCTAGAAACCGGCCGAGAATCGTACGATTCTCGTCGGGTTTTCGAACATGTTGGCTCGACAAAAGACGTGCGACCGTACAGTAGAAACGGTCGCACGTCTTAGGCCCCGTTCACACCTTTACGTTTTGTCATGCGTTCAACGCTCTATGAACGCTCAACAAAACGTACAAACATGAAAATCCCATTGTTTTCTATGGGTCTGGTTCACACCTTTCCGTATTTCCGCCCATCTGAAACGCCCTACAAAATGGCCTACGCCCAAACAAGTACATGTACTTCTTTGGGCCGTTTTGTAGGGCGTTTTACATTGGCATACAGCCAAGTGGCCTTCGGAATCGCGCGACAGTCGCGCGACTTTTTTACCGCGAATCACGGTAAAAAAAAACGCGCGACGGTCGCGCATATTCAATACGCCTAGGTGTGAACCCAGCCTTAGTTCACACTGCTCGATTCTCATACGAGAATCGAGCAGTGTATGGGCACCTTTACAGTAGTACCGGTATGACATGTATGTCAATCTCAGCTGCATCTCATCTATTAATTATGAGCATAATAAGTGACTAACCTCCGAGGACCTGACTGATAACTGGAGCCTCCCGCTGCAAGCCGTCCTACAATCTTCCGGTGTAGATAGATATATTTATAGGAGCTATTATACCTGCCACAGGTTTTTGCTAGGGATGCACCAATACCGATACTAGTATCAGTATCAGTGCCAATACTGAGTATTTGGGCGAGTACTCTGATGCTCTGCTCTGATACCTTGCCCGATACCGGAACTTCCGGTCAGAGGAAGATTTCCTCTGACCGGCAGTGCCATAGGGGAACATGGAGCCAGCTTTCCGTGCGATCAGGAAGCTTGGCAGCAAGTAATGACCCACCTCCCGGCTTCCTGATTAGCTGGGAAAATGGCTCCTTGCTGATCGGCCGGGAAGCTGACTTCCCAGCCAATCAGCACCGAGCCAACCAAACAGCCGGCTCTTTGCTGATTGGCCGGGAAGCCGGCTTTCTGGCCAATCAGCATCAAGCCGGCTTCCCGGGCAATCAGGAAGATGGGAGGCTAGTCATTACTCACCGCCTGGCTTCCTGATTGGCTGGTAAGCTGGTTTCCCGGCCAAGCACAATCAAGTCGGCCAGACAACATGGAGCCAGCTTCTCAGGTAATCAGATTGCCCGGGAAGCCGGCTCCATGCCAGCGGGAGCACCGGTATCGGAGCATCCCTAGTTTTTGCATTTTTTTGTTTGTCTATTTAGTTTTGAGAAATACACAGCTCTGCAATACAGCACAGCCCTGTCTGGCATGTAAGGAGGCCTGCTATTGCTTTCTTACTGTAAAGTAAGACTTACAGGTCTTGTCCCTCCCCCAGCCTGTGACTGGACAGTGAAAGGAGAAGCAGCAGACTAATGAGCTCATCTCTCTGTCACTCTACTCTCTCCTGCTGCTGCACAACTGATTGGCTCCTTGTGCTGCTTCTCTCTCGCGCTGTACATGGATTGCAGCAGGTTGATATCAGATCCAATTCAAACACTTACACTTCTTGCACTTTAAAACTGTGTTTGATGATGTAATCATATATACACAGCTGTATTCATTTGCATATTTCATATCTGCCTGGAGTTTAGCTGCAACACAACAACTGATGCAAATAATTTCCCTGAATGTCCTGAATGACGCAACATGGGCAGAGACCAGAATTCCCAGGATGAGCTTGTACTTGTATATGTATTGTTTCCATGAACAGGCCCACACACACGCGTGTGCGTGATACAACATCATGACCTGCGGCTTCTCTTCGCAAACCCAGCAACGCGACAAAAAATTCTGCTGGTGATAAATTTGTCATTTTGTTAAAGGGGAACTATGGGGGTAAGTGTTTTTCTTCATAGTTCTCCTAAGGGTCACGGGAGAACACAAACTAGCGTCCTCCCGTGAACCAAAGCTCAGTATATAGCAAGCTACAGCTCGCTATGAGTGGTGGTCAGTGGGAAGAATGCCCCTTACATTGGTGGTCAGTGGGAAGAATGCTCCTTATGTTGCTGATTGATATCAGTGGTCACATATCTGAGAATTTGCTTAATTTATGCTGATATTACGCAAACATGCTCTGCAGTTGAATCTTCCAGGTGGGTGATGGATTCTCCACCAGAGAATGTTTGGTTGACGTCACATTCACTGCTTTATAAATAGACCCCTTATAGTACACCTAAACCCAACACCAAAAATGTGATATATTACAGCTTCCTTCTCATGTGATTTTTGCTTATACAAGTACCTGTTGATCCCGCCAGAAAGGATATGTCTGTAGGTGACTTCCTGTGCACTGATCTGTCATCTCAAACAATGTAGTCTTCTTTCTAGTCTATCTGCAGTGAACTTCAGCACACCTACTGTAATATGTAATGGGGATGGAGTCCAAATCAGGAGAGCAGCCTAGGGTGACAATGCTGCTCCTGCGTAGATGTGTGTGTATTAATGTTGTCACCCTAGGACAGGAAGTGTGGTACAGGCAGGATCACCAGGTGACAATAAAGCAAAAACAAAGCTAAAAAAAAACAACCTCATCTTCCCTGGAGGTCTAGTGGATGAAGCTCAAGCAGTGTATGGCCTACTCAAGGCGACACTGTTCTGGGGCCACTTCACTATAATATAATATTTGTTTTGTTTGTTATCATTATTAT